CACCTTCCCTGTCCGCAGGTACAAGAGGATATGTTTTCAGGTGCTTCTACACTATTAGCGGCTGAACCTCCCATGTCGGAAGTAGGCAAGATCGATCAATGTCTGGTGCACTGACTCACGCCGGCTGTACCAGTTACCAGCGTTGTCTACCGTTGCCCTGTTGCTGTTGAGGAAGCCTGGAAATCCCAGTGGCCCTTCCCACTTTACCAGCGAGTGAGAAGGCGCTCCTTCCCGAACCCGATCTCTGAGACGACTCCTGTGGAGTAACGTGGTCCAGAACCCCCTCGAGACCAACTGGTCGCTTCCGGGTGCCCCTGAACAATAAGGGCCAGACCAGCCCAAACAAGCCCCGGATCGCCGTGGCTCGCCCCATTCTGTCTCTCATCTCCCCATGTTCCCGTTCGCACCTTCTCAATAACGCCTCCCGCGCCCTGGCGTTCCCGCAGGAGATGAGCCGGTGCAGTGTCTTACGTCGTACTATCAGGAACGTCCTTGGGCGCGCTTTCTTCAATGTCGTCTTCAAGCAACACTTGCTCGAGAGTCCTTATTTCGGAATTGAAGCTCAGTGTTGAGTGTGGTTCAATTCCACCACACCACGTCGACTCAACTCATCGCTCTCTTTTCTTGTTGAGCTTTGATGGGAAGGGTTCTACTTCGTACATACACCATCAATCTGTCCATCCCATCATCCCATCAAGTTGCTCCCCTTTTCCATCTCCTCTTTCTGCACCTTGCTTTTCATGGTGTGCACTGTTGCCCCATCATTCACCTGGCTTAGTACAACCGCGGTTGTTGTCAGCTACCACCCTAGCAACTGCATTTATCCCGTATCCCATGCTTCTTCTCATCTCCCCTGTCACAGTTGGCAAATCGAAGCGCCGAAATTGCTCATCTCCTTCGCGTCTACCTTGCAATCTTCCCATCATTGCTGCCCTCTTCCCTCCTCCGTTTCCTTACCATTTCACGAGAAAACTCCGGGTTCGAACAATAGGAACGCGACGACGTGGCCAGCTTCGATCTTTTTGCATGACACCTACCTCCATATCAAGACGCATCCACAACCTATCGGAGGAGCCATTGAGATAGACGCTTAGAAAGTTCCGCCTGCATGCAGTATACAGAATGTGCTGTATGCCAGGCGGGGGTTCCGACAGCGGCGGCACCCGATTTGGCCTATCCGCAGATCGTCTGTTCTTTATGTACAGCCCAATATGCGGGCCACCATCCAGCGACGGGGTCGGTCATTCCTGTTCCGTGCCGTGATGCATCCGGACCCTACCATATCGCAGGTCGAAGTTGCATCGCCGCCAAATCCATGTCGAGTTTGACAAATGTCCTGCACGCACCCACCACCACTAGTGTACCTTCAGCCACCGTCTCACTTCTTTCGTATCGTATAATACCTGGAAGCTCTGCTCGATTCCTCGTGTTCCGATTTAGCCGTGGAAAGAGCTGTGCCTGCTTTTGAACTCGATATTTACCTCTTGCACTCTGTGGTTCTCCATGGCTAGACAACATGCACTAATTGACGTGAATCCCGGCGGTCGTTTTCCTCGATTCACTTCGTTGAAGCCAACCAGGGTAGTTAATGGATGAGGGAGGGGTATGCAGCATCAGGCATATTGGGGTCCCGGTTCAACGATGAGGATTGGACGGGGTCCATTCCTAGAAGAAATGCTAGCTGTCGGTCCGAGGTACATTATCTTCTCAAGAAAGGCAGAGGACAACGAACTCCGCTCTTCCAGTTGCTTCGCATTATATCATGCTTCCCTTGGTTTTGTCGTTGTTTTGTTATTCTGCAAGAATCCAACAAGAACAGTCGACGAAGTAGCACGAGCATAACGAATTGTCCCGCAAGTGCCCGTTCCACCATCGATTTAACCCTGTGAACTGAAATGAGAGTGGATACTCCCCTGTCAACCCATCGTGGGAACTATGAAGTAATTAACCCCTACAGGCAGATCGAGGACGGGACTGTCGACTCGAAGAAGTACCGGGAGGCCCCCGATCCAAGTACAGGAGAAAAGAAGCCGAGGAGATAACCGTTTCGCTCTCTGTCAACAGAAGCGGAGGTGGCACGGGAGTGAAAGCTGCACACTTTCATCCACTCATCATCTAGGAGAATGCAATCCACTACGCACAGGAAGCGCTTGTCAGGAAAAGTATGCAAACAGACAAGTCTAGGACGGCGGATGATGCGGGTGTAGGCACACCGCGACTTGTCAAAATAGGAACGGCACGTAATTTCCGGCATGGTTTCGGGGGGCTTCCCCCACCCTCGCCTGGTAGAGTCTTGGTTTTTGGATTCCAATCTTCTCATGGAAAGCCGTGAAAGAGTGCCTCCGTTTCTGGGCGTAAACTCTGACCGGATCACATTTCTAACACCAGGCAGGGGTTAACAAATGCTGGTTCGGATCTGGCGCAGCTGGGCATGAGAACTGGCGTCTAGGAACTAGCTGGCTTCTGCTATACACGAACGGCAATGCAGCTTCTTCTAGTCGCTACTTCATAAGGTGCAGGTTTAATGATGCGAGAGGTGAAAGAAAGGGGTGGGGGTGTGCTCTGTCCTGATGCTCGGGCATGGTCGGGTGAGCCAATGTGTTGCTAGACCAGGATAGCGTGTCCGCAAAGAGGCTTCACCCCAATACTTCGTGCCGTGCCTTTTCTCACGCCCTTTGATCGGGCGGATCATCTCCCGCAGATCACCCGTGCTGCCAGCAGCAGCGGCTCGCCCGAAAACACTTTACTCGGCTTGTTAGGTTGTCAGACGAGAGTCAAAGGGTGTGTGTGCCATGTATTGGGTGAGACGGGGCAGCCATGGGCGCCAATTGATGAACTATTGTAACTGGTTCCCGTCTAGCCACGCCACGGTTAGATGTAAGATCAAGGATGTCACAGATTGGTACTGAGTTCAATTACCGAGTTGCTCTGTTCCTTTATGATTTCCCAGCAGAGGCTCACAGAGGATTTCACTTGCCATCGACCAGTACTCGTATTGCCTGCGACGAAACCATAAAGACACACGACACGGAGAAATAAACGTCGACGCATGTTTGCCAGAGCGGGCTGTCAACATGGATGTCGGCAGGCGTTTCACGTCCACGTTTCTCCTTTTCTCGTGAAGTTGAGCAGTGTGACCTAGAGTCGGCTTATGCATTTCTTGGTTACTATGCTGTTTGGGGGTCATATTCTTTGTGATGAACATCGTATTGATTGGAACCTGGCACAATCCACCATTCCGTGGGTACATGCATGCGAGATAGCCACGGTCTTGAGCCTCTGATGAGGGCAATAACTCGATCAGATCATGGGAAGAGTTTTACCCTAACCCGAGTCTAGGAAGGGGGTGTGGCAAAAGGGAGAAATGAAATAAGTGGCACGAGGGATCCAAACACGAAGTCCCCAGGAGTCCCACTGATGGCTCCATCTTGGGGAACATTGTAGCGCCGGATAGAAGCCGGTGCTGCGGCGTGCCGTCCCTTGTCCGACGGAAGGCGATAGAACACTTTTTCCTTGCCTAATTTGGAGGGGCACGGGACGGCAGGTCTGTGCTACGTGATAGAAGGTCGTTCGGGGAAAAGGAGAAGGCATGTTCTTGTGGATGGTTTTACGAAGGCGAGTGAAATGTTCGATGAAGAGCATGTTTGCTCTTTGGAGTCTTGCCGTTGTGTAAGTGAAATTCGGCGAGCATGAGAGCGTACGACGTGTCACTGTTTGTCCAATCTCGTCTGATTCTCGTTCTAACATTACCTGCCGTCTCGAGGAAAAGCCGGAAAGAGTGTCCTGACGTTCTGCCTAGTTGTGTGTGTCTTTGTGCATTCTGGGTCCTCGAACTTCACTACATGGGCCGGCGATGTCCGGGTTGGTTTGTATACAGAATTCATCAGTCAAGTGTTCGACATTATGCCATTCCGGATAACGTTAGACCAAAACTGCGAATAAAGGCTCCGTGATGATGGAAATCGTTTGAGCTGGATGACGATGATGGGCCGAGTGCAATGTGGTCGAGGTGGAGCGGACCAGATCTCCCACTGGGCAGAGCGGGAGACTTAGATGGAGCAAGCCAAGGCAACTAACCTTGGTGTGCTGAATGGTTCGATCTAGTACTTAATTCTAGATTAGGAAATATTGCCATTATTCTCCATTCGTGATCAACTTTGATCTATTAAAGGAAAAAAAAGCGGCATTGGAAAAAAAAATGTCGAGGCGAAAACTGAAGGTATCGTTGGTTGGTTAGTGATGAATCTGCCCGATATAGAGACGGATCGAGTCTGTGCGATCAGTGGAGCGCTATATTAGTTGAGACCTGAGGCGCTTCGCGGGAGGTTGTTAGTGGGATTAGCCCCTGTTAGGGCCCTGGTCTGGTCCGTCCACTGATGTTCCAGTGGTGCGGTGAGCGGCATCAACGGGGGGTCACATGACGCTCCCGCGTCCCCAGGAGGCAGCGTCACAGCGGGGAAAGCCTGGTTTAGTTTGGGGGCTTTGCCAAAGACGCAACCATGTCCAATTTACGAAGTACAACACAATCAATTGATGCGTTATTGATCAAGTTTAAACTCGTCGAGGGTCTTTTCAACATGTTCAGTCCATTTTTTTCACCGGTCAATGTTGTCACTTTTACCGCCTGGGGGAAATAAACTTGCCGATTGATCAATTGATGTCTCCGAGAAAGTCTCCGCAATGGACGAGGGCCCTGGACAGTTGTAGTGTACGGAGTAAATGTCGCCGATCAGATCTCCCCGCTCGGGGGAATCGATGGGACCTTATAAGCGCACGGATTTCCTTGGGAGCAACAGATCAGATAAATAACATCCAAGAAGGAAATCTACGGAGTATCAATTGAAGGAAACTCTGCCCGAACTATTATTTGGTCAATTCATCAATATCAATCCATATCCCTCAATTGGTGCCGCTGCAAGACGCGTGAATTGATCGTTGATCAGCCCCGCACGCACCGATCCCGCTTCAATATTGTCCAGCAAAAACTGCCCAACCCCAACATGACCGAGACTACTGCCTCTAAGAACCAACAGTTCTTCAAGTAAGTCCGATTTCCTCCCTTTGTATTTTTCGTTTCTTTCTGCATTCTCGGACCCAAGCTGTCCAGAGGAGCAACGCTCGCTCCATATTCCATATTGCTTTTTTCTTGCTTGCATGCCATTATTGGCTCAACCTCCCCACACCCTCCCCCGAAGCCTGCCTTCTCAGCTGATGCTTGATCATTGCCTTCCCAAGAAAGTCTTGGCCGGGATCCCTGACACCATTATCCCATGTTATTGGTGTTTGGTGAAAAGTGTTAGCAATTCGAACACCTTCCTTTTGTTACCATTTGGCACTCGGAGGGACGGGAGAGAAGAAAACTGGCTCGGAACAGCCCCCAGTCCAGTCCCCGGGCGTTGAGTGCTGTACTTGCCGCCGCCCCCCACGCCAACGTTGCCAGAAATTGAGCAACAACGGTTAGTGAAACGGACGGAACGGCCTCGGCTCTAAGGGTTCCCCGACCCCCGAGAAGGGCGAGAGCTCTGGCCAGACCCGGCTCCTGTTGGGCGTTTCCCCGACCCCTGCAACTCCTATTACACAATGCCGGGGGCGGAATTCCAAGTGGACCAGACAGCCCCAGATGGGTTTTTGGACTTGGTGGCAACGCTCCCATGGCGTTGGTGGAAAAGAAGTTGGATTCTAGGATTGCGTCCCGTCCCTTGCCCAAGGGTTCCCTTTCAATATGGAGGCATGATTTTATCACAAGTAGTCGAGGAGAAGAACAGCACAGGTTAACTGATACCGACTTATTATTTCTCTGTTGCAGTGAGCAGGCATCGTCCTACGACACCCGGCATCAGAAGACCATTGATCAATTGATTGCGCATATCCAGAAGCGCAAGGACTTCATCGGCGCCCGCTGGGTTGCAGACGACGATGAGAATGATGATGGGTCCCACGCGGACGGGAAACCCGTGAGGTTCCTTGACTATGCTTGTGGGACTGGGTTAGTTTCCAGGGTAAGTTCGGGTCCTAACATTCAGCTGGATCTGGATCTCGGGTGCGCGGGTGCCTGTCTGGGAGCATGAACCCGGGGAGTGGACGCGAAAAAGTCGTGCTCGAAGCTGACGACGTTGGGGTGCGTGATAGGCGCTTGCCCCTTATACAACCCAGTGCGTGGGTATCGACATCTCGGAGAACATGGTAGCGTCTTATAACGCACGCGCCCAGAACCAGGTAATTAGGCCCTAATATCTTTTACACTCCGTAAAGCCCCGAAGACCCGAACATCCCACACTTCGTGATTCCTTTCCACTTTTCACACTCCCCCCCGCGGCGCAGCTGAGATCCCTGGACAAGGATTGGCGTTCCGGGTTTGACTACTAGTCTTGTTGGTTGCATCAGACTCGGAGTGCCTGTCCCAACGACTCCCACTCCCTCAGGCCTTGCCCCTAGCCGCCTCTTTCTCACCATACGTACCCGCAGTCTAACGTTCATCCTTTTTCATCTCATTCCTCCTCCCTCTTTCCCAGAGAATCCCCCACCCCTTGGTTAGCCTATGCTGAAACATACATCACACCAGGGCCTTAGCAAGGATGAAATGCACGCCTACCAAGGCAACCTCCTCAACAAAGAAGACCCTAACCCATCCTCCCTCTCCTCCGCCGATCTCTTCAACTTTGACGTCGCCGCCGTCGGCCTCGGAGCCCACCACTTCGAGGACCCCGACTTCGCGGCCCGCCAGATCGCGGCCCGGCTCCGCCCCGGCGGCGTGTTCTTCATCGTCGACTTCCTACCTCACGATCACGTCGACGGACACGCGCACAAGGCGGCGCACACGGTGACGCATCACGGGTTCTCGGAGGAGAGGGTCCGGGAGATGTTTACTGCCGCCGGAGTTGGGAAGGGGTTTGCCATGGTAGAGATGGGGAGCGGGGTTGTTTTTGCGGGGATGGGGAAGGATGGGAAGGAGATGGAGAGGAGGGTTTTTCTTGCGAGGGGGGAGAAGGAGAGTGGTAGCTGCCTTTAATAAGGCGTCGTGGGGGACACGCTGAATTTTGTTTATATGAACGTCTAGGTTTATATATGATGACATAGATGGCTATACGCGAAATGGCTTATATATGACGAACCCCTGGCATCATATCCCAGATCTGACGCGCAAGTTGTGGAAGGCTTTTAGTTCTTTTGCGCGTTCGTGTATACCTCGTCCTCTTCGTCCTTGAGATCGACCACGAAGGCTCCTCCGAGCAGGAGAGCCGGTTCCTTGATGTTATGATGTTCATAACTGATTCTGCGTTAGCTCTCAGTCTGCCACCTCCCTCTCCATCAAATAACAAGAAAACGGAGGGGCCGAGTGTGATAATGAGAAAATGCAGAACGAGCAAATTCAGACTTACCTCAGTGTTCCCACACCACCAGCCTCCATCAAAAACGTCAAGCCCTCATCCAACCCTCTCCCGCCCCAGCGCATAGCAAAAGCCCTCAGAATATGGCCATGCGCAACGATGAGGACGTCCCCATTTTTGCTAGGATCCTCAAAGGCAGGACGATGCCACTTTTCGCGGATCTCATTGACAAGAGCGTCAAGTCTCTCGGTCACCTGTTCGGGGCTCCTATACAAACGTTCCAAAATCACTTTTTCAACATCAAACTTTTCTCTCACGTTTCTTCACAATAATACGGAATGTTTTGTACTTACTCTCCCCCGGGACATCCATCCTTCCAAATATCCCACCACCCTTCAATCCCAGCCTCGGCCCTCCCCTTGCGAATCGCAGCGCTCGTAAGACCCTCGTACTCGCCGTAGTCCCACTCGCGGATGACGTCGGTGACTTGGACTTCTGCGGGGCAGGCTAGGCTGTCGTTAGGCTCGGTGGCCGGGCAGGGCGTGCCGCGCTGGGGCCAGGGGAGGGGGTTTTGAGGGTGGAGGTTGAGGAGTTCGAAGGTGCGTTGGGCGCGTTTGCGGGGGGAGACGTAGCTAGATGTGTGAGTTCGAAATGAGATGGAGAATGGGCTTAAAAAATAGGGGGACAGAAAGTCACTTACATGTGGGCGAGCTTGCGAGGGACGATGAGGCGATCATGCCCGACGAGGGCTTTCCCCGTTGCGCGGACTCGGCGCTCGCCGTTGGCAGTGAGGGGGATGTCGGAGGTAGATGTGTGGCGACCTGAGAGGGACCATTCCGTCTCGCCGTGACGGACAATGAAGACTCGTGGCGTGGCGGGCATGGCTTCTGTTATTTCTTTCTTTTTTGAGGGGGGTTTATTTCTATTCTTTCTTTCTATTTCTTCTTCGGCCCTTCTGGGAGGCAAAGAGGTGAACCGGGAGGATATGAGAGTGAAATGAGAGATTCAGAGTCTATGAGTGAGACGGCAACCGCGGGGGTTTTTGGGTCGATTTTGGGTTGATGAATGCTTCAATGTTCCGTGTTGACTGATCAATCTGTCAGCAGGATGGCTTGCCGAATTTGAGCTTGCAATGTGTGGAGCTCAGCTGTGATTCTTAAACGATGTTCCTGATGTTGGGCGGTGTCTTGGAGCGATCGATATAGACTTGTTTTGGCTTGAGAGATGGGAGTTATGTATAGCAGCTGACTTATTTTACGATCAGCTCTTGCTTGACATTGAATCCATAGAATGGACGGGGGCCTGGGAGCAATATCTCGAGCTTGGATTCAAAGGCGTGCCTTCACGGTTTGGGTTGGATTGCGGGCGGCACGCTGCCGGAAGGTCTTGTAATCACCCCCGACGTGCAATGGGGAGAACAACCTTGGGACGCGGTTCATGTAACTCATTGAAACCTGGAAAAAAAAGAAATTGTCTTTTCAGTCGGTTGGATTCACAGCAGATGCCTAAGATTACCTCCCTCAAGCTTCAAGCCTCAAGGTCCTCCTCGCTCCTACTTCGTAGATCTATTCGAACCGGACTTGGATCATCTCAACTTTAGCCCCCTCCACGTTGCTCCGAATTGAAGCTCCCCACTTTTTACCAAGCATTTCAATCAAGATGTCATCTATGACTAAGCCTAAGACGTCAACGCAAATGCGGGCATCGCCGCGGGCATCGCCACGGGCTGCATCACCATCCGTGTCCCTGTTCTATCATTAGCCGGTGTGCATGAATACAGTACTACCCCGTTGTCCCTGCAAACTATCCATTGACATCATTCTAAGTTTTCCTGCCTGTATCCCGTCCGAAATGGCCAAAGTGCTGCCTAAGCTTTCACCCAAGCTTGGCCTGATGGAGGCTGGCGGGGATCTCGGCGGCCGACCCAGCAATATCAATCCCCGGCATAGCCCAAGTCCAGCAACGTTCGCGCGGCAATAAATTAGCTGAATATACCTCTGCCTCTCGCCATCTTGCACTGGAGAAAGCTGGCATGACCAGTCAGGAGAACTACAAGTGGACGTCTTCCTTGAATATCTGGCAGTCCAATGTGACAAAGACTGTGTGTACTCGCCCCGCCTCGAGGCTATGTTGGTAGACGACCGATCGATGAGCTCACCGAGAGTGTACCAAGAGGGTCTTTTCCGAAGTTTTCGCAAACAGAAGCCCAGTTGGAGAGTGGTCCAAGTCGAATGACGCCGAAGAGAAATTGAAAACACAAGGTCAACTCTCGCGATGGCGTCCAAGGGTGCTCCCAGAAATGTCTACACCACATGGCACCATAGGAAGTCCGATATCTCGAAATCCCTCTTTGAAACAGATGTAGAAAGAGTATCTCGACTCATCATCCACATACAGTGGGACTTTGCCGTTACTTTAGAGATCTCCAAGTCAGCCTGGATATTTCCAGACGGGGCGTAGGCATTTCTGTTGGTTGGAGTTTCTTCTTGGGCGTTTCTTGAGAGATCACCTCGAAGTATTTCCTAATATCAATGTCCCTTCATGGCCAATAAGGAAGAATTGCGACCAATGAACCGAGATCCTACCTCCCGCCCCGGCAATACCGAGATCGCCGACAGGGCCTCCCGACTCACTATCTTCTACAAGTCGAAGATATCTGCCGAGATCCTAGCTAGGCCATCTTAGAGACCGATCTGGAACGGGGTTTTTTACCCATAGACATGACATTGGTAAGCGTAGAAAGAGTGTAAGGAGACAAGAACACGGCGTCAGATCCCCGGGATCACAGAGCGCTCTGACAGAAGCTGAGTTGGGGATGGACTCGACCTATTATTATTCGTAAATTAAGGGGTCACTTTTCGTTCTTGGATCTGGATAGGAAGACTTTGGGGCGCTTGACTTCTGTGCAGCAAGTAAGAAACTTGTCGATTTGGGGATCGCTTGGTCTTCATCCATGAAGCGATAGCGGGGAGATTGGGAAAGTGAGGACGACCAAGGACAAATAAATAGCTTGGCCTTGCTACCTTGCCCCGAACGAAGTGCGGTTTCGGTCATGATGCTGAGCGAAAATGCTATGCCAGTTTGTTCTCCGTAACTTTGCGACAGCTACAAGCTCAGACCAGCTTCATGGACATCCCTGGGGATCAATCTGGCCATGGCAGGCAACGTTGACCCCTGTAGCCTTCGCTAGAGGGATCATTGAGTTAATGGATACCATCGAAAATTATTGTCACATCCTGAGATACTGAGAGGAACTGTGTAAGATGTATTAATTTTTGTTATTCAATTGCTCTCCTCTTCTCCCTTGCTCGCCTGATGTCTATTGTTATCTTGCAATACCTTCTCCTAAAATCGTTGCTTACTGCTTCCGGTCTTCGACTGGGCGGCTTGTGACGCGATACGAATTGGCGAATGCATCGAGGACCCCTCCCCCCGAACAACGTGAATGAAGAAAGAAGGGTAAGAGAAATCGAGCCGCTTAGAGATCCTCTATAATTAGATTTCCCGACGCGCCGATCACATCGCGCATCGTATCAGTCTCGCTCGGTTCGTAAACCTGCCTCGGCATAAGCGACGCAATAGCAAACTCATACTCGTGGTCATATCCCTCGGGCCTATCAGCCGGGCCATCCTCGGAGGAAAGAAGGTCATGGCACTCCGCGAAGGCGTAGAGCTCCTCCATGGTCGTATCTCCGTCAAACCGACGGACGACTCTTTCGCCGCCGGCTCGCTCAGGGAACTTCAGCGCTATGCGCACGGTACCCTTAGTACCGGCCGCAGGTTCGGGCGCAATCGTGCCCGCCCTCCAGCGCCTCCATTGCTCCCGCAGTTCGGCCCTCCTAGCTGCCTCCTCGGCCTCTTGCGCCGCCCGCCTTTCGGCTTCGGCAGCCGCGGCCTGCTCCTCTCGTCGCTTTCGGGCTCGTTCCCTGTCGACGGCGAGAGATCGTTCGTAGGCGGAATCTTGTTCGGATCGTATGTTTCGGGCCGCGTCGCGGGCGGCACGTTCGTTGCGGACGGCGGATAGCTCGGGGGCGTACTTTTCGATGGCGGATCGGAGCTCGCCGATGTACTGCGATGGAGGCATAGAGCCTACAAGTCGCTTGACCGTGCCCATACGAGTGCTGCCGTGCTTGGGAGTAAGGCAGACGAGGGCGGAGAAGGGGAACTTTGTGCAGTTATATTCCGTCGACACCTGGTACGCCTCGGAGTCGAGGACATTTCCGCCCCAAAGAATGATGTTATTAGAGGGGTCCCGAATGAAAGAGACAACTTCTGGTGACAGGAGAGTTTCTTTCGTAAACGACTCCGTATCGTCGTGTTCCGGCGACACTAGGACAAACAAAAGGAACTTCAGCTCCTTCTTGGCCAAGTCCTGTGCCTGGGCAAAGCCACCTTCGAACCACGGTAGCTCGTTGGGGCCGTATTCCTCCTCAAATTCACGCTTGAATCTCGACGCGGTGTCGGCGGGCATCAACATCCTTCGGCCCGACGAGCTACGGAAGCCCGTAACCACAGCGTTTGTGAGTAGCCTGGGCCGTATGGGATGAGGCAGGAATGAAAGTATGTAAAGGGCTAGCCTCACGCCCACTGCTGCAACTCGATATCCAATCGTAAAGGGCGCGAACAAGAGCGTTAGAAGGAAGGGCGGTCGGTGGGTCCTTTGAGGTTGGGGTACGATGCGAGGCGCTGGGTCGGGTTGCGGTTCTCTGGGACGGCTTGTACTTGTTCGAGGAGAGTTGTGGAGAGATTCTTGGAGATTGTCGAATCGAGCAGAGGCCGCCGGACCTTGCTGGGCGGCCCGAGCCTCCGCGAGATGATCGGGTCCTTCACCATCAAAGTACTTTGCTATCGCAATCTAGGAAGGAAGGAGACGAGTTAGCTTAGGAAACGTAACAAGCTTAAGCTGCCTTGATTCATATCCGGCGAGATACTTCAGGTACTCTACCTGTACGTTCCATTCCGACCTTTGTAGGAGAGGAATGGCATCTTTTATGTCCTGGGCCGTGACTTGAATGTATTGATCTAGAGCTTCCCGCTGGGTCGGGGCCAAATCGGCCTGCTCGGCGACGTCGCTCGCCATCTTTTCAGCGCCCGATGAATGCGATATAAATCCGGTTCCTAGCGTGAGCAAGCGTCTTGATGCGCAACTGGTCCGCCGTGGCGTCGCTCGTCACCCCGCGTCGGTACTAGGTTGTCGAAGGAAAAGCTGAGAGCTCGGCAAGTCGTTGGAAGAGATCGTTCGAAAAGTGCCAACGGGGCAAACGAAATCAAAGCGACGTAGGCCGTCGTCCTGCAACTGTCCGCCGACCGGTTTCCAAGTCTCGGAAGGGAATGTAAAGACGAAAGTTCGAGGTGGCAAAGGGACTCGAGGTGAGCAGAGGATAGGATGTCAGCTTTGAGGAGAGAAATCAATAATAAGTGCTAATACACGCTTCCTCAAGATGGAGCAAGGTATGCAAGACAAAAAGAAAAGCTAAATGGCAAGCCAGTTAGTATTAGTAGAGCCGTGAGCACAAGGCCAGATGGATTCAAGCTACTCTAGGTTCCACCGTGGCGTGTGGGAGGTGACGACACATGTCACAGAGGACACTACTTTCATGATTTGCCAACTGGTGGCAATTGGTTTTGAACAAGACACAAGCCAGGCCCCTATTGAAATAATAACCCCGATAATGGTGTCTGAGAGGTAATCATTAATCATGCATTCAATCAACCCGCCTTTGACAAGGCATTTCGCCTTGTCACTTGCTTGAAGGATTGCCCCTTGCTTAGGGCCATATCCACCTTAAGCTGGCACAAGGACACTTCGTTAATTCAGTTAATTCAGCATTGTTCCCCCGCCACAGCTGCTTGTCAACCACCAATTCAATATTGATAGGGATCGCTTCCCGCTTTCCGAATAACCTGTGCTTGTGCTGGGTTCAACAACAACAAATCCGCCAGCCCTCCCACAACTATACCTGTGCTATCTCCGAGATCTTTGATCCCTGTGTGCCCAATCTTTGCATCTGTGCCTTGTCCTACCTCTGGGCACTGCGCACTGCCTATGCGCGACACCGGCCGTACCTCTAGTCTCCGGCCAAAGCCTTCCTAGCAACCTCCAGTCGCCAACCCCCGTTATCCCCTGATCCCGTGCCTTGGCCTTGACATAGCCTTGTCGCCTGGCTTGCTTGGCTTGATATTGTCCATGTGTAACCGGTTACCCTTAAGGATTGAATCATGGGCGACTCTTGTGCGAGCTAGGTATGAAACTTCCCCCTGCAGGTGCCTTCGCTTCCCTTGCCGGACCAGCCTTAGCATACAAAACCGAAAGGCAACTTGTGGGCCAAAACACGCTACCATAACCCCGCGTCTCCCCTCTCTTCATTCTCAAGACTCGCCGGGTAACGATTCCGATACCCTCGAAGCCGGCACCCGTGTGACGAGCTGTCGCTGGTACGGCCAATTGAGTGTTCTCGCTGCCGTTGTCTTCCCGCCTTTCCTCCGCGGCCCCTCGCACCTTGGCGTCGCGCCCCCATATGCCTTCGACAGTCGGACCTATGCTGACCATCGCTGTCTCTCTCGTTCTCTCCTTTCGCTCCGACTACAGATAGCCTAGATCGAACCGAGTAGCGCACCCTCTTCCCCCCGGCCTCAGCATTTCTAGAATGGCTGCGCGGGGATACCAGAATAACGATCTGCGGAGGCAGGTTGGGTCTCCTAAACCTAAAGGGCGAGGTTCGTTGCTCATATCCCACACGCATTCCCGCGCCGGTACGACGTGTTTACGTGTCCCATCCCTCGGGGACGTGCTTCTTGTAAACGTCAGACTGCTGACATTGTTGTTTCTCTCTCCTTCCTCCAGATCACAAGGATACCCTCTGCCGAAACATTCTGATATACGGCCACTGTCGGTACGAAAACTCGGGTTGTACCTTCAACCATGACCAAGGCAAGAACTCCTCTGCCGCGAACGCGAATAACAATACCGCCAATGCTACCCCGAATACTCCCTCCGAAGCGTAGGTCTCACCTCTCTTCTTCTTCGTCGCCAGACTCCGATATCGCATTTGCACGTGCTCTCGCAGCAGCTATCTGTTGTGGTTGGCTGCGCGCCAAGACACAACTTTTTGGAATGCGCCGTGTCGCCGGACTCACTTTTCTCACATGGAAGCTTGGGACTTGCGACCCTTTGGCCATTCTCTGGTGTTCTGCCAGACCTGTGTGTGTGGGGGGCGGCTCAAGCCGGTGTTAACTCGCAGCAATATTGCCATCCGACATAGCTGACGCTGATCATGCATCTAGGCCTAAGAAGACGTTGAATGTTGAATCTCCATCTTTTACCCCTTCTAGTATCGCAAAGAAACCCACCTTCTCCTCTCAGGCCCTCAGCGCCGCTCCTTTCACTCCCAGGGCGAGTTCTGGTAAGTCGTGGGAAAGATCTGCGCTACCCAGCCTTCCAGACGCTGACAACCCTTCCAGCATTAGGCGGCGCATCTACTGGCGCCACATTACAGCATAATGGAGAGCCGAGCGTCTTCAATCCGAACGCAGCGGCCGTCCCGGAGTTTACCCCACAGAACTATGGTCTCAGCACTACTACAGTGAGTTGTAATGGCCCATGGAGGATGAGGATGCGCCTGTGGCTGACAATGATGCAGACAACACCAGTGAGCCAAGATGCGAGCATAGCTTACGATACTTTTTCAATGGGCACGGTTGGCCAAGCCATGCCAGCCGCCCCTTACAACCCCTACGTAGAGGATCATAGCGCAGCTGCCGCCGCCGCTGCTCTTGGCGCGACCAACCAAGCGTTCTTCCAGCAGAATGCGTATGCGACCCATACTCAACCTGTATGTGTCTACTATGGCCCGATTATCCGATTTCCTTCTCTAATTATGCGCTCTAGTTGCTCCATCACTTATACTTCCCCGCGGGCCCTCACAAGGAAGACTTGCTTCCCTATCAGAGGACATCCCATGACTTTTTCATGTCCGAGAAGCTGAGGCAAGACCTCCAAAAGAAGGCTGAGGCAGCCCGCCAAGTTATTAGTACGTCTTTGCCTACTTAGCCGCCGTAGTCCTTCTTCCCCTCATACTAATGATACACCTTAACTAGATACTAGCCTCCCACAGCTCGACAACTTCCACAGCCTCGTCGCACTAGATACGACGAATAGGAAGAATGCCAATATGTTTGGCTACCCAAGCTGGGTGTACAAGGCAGTTGATGGGAAGACTGGTCATATCCGGTGCCTGAGGAGACTTGAAGGTATTATCAACTACTTACTATTTCTAATGTTGCTGGGCGGAGTAGGTTAAGCTAACTGCATTTAGGCTTCCGTCTCTCTAACGAGCACGCGATCCGGACAGTCAAAGAATGGCGCCGAGTTGACTGCGGAGGCGTGGTGCCAATCTTTGATGCCTTTACGACGCGCGCCTTCGGAGACAGCTCCATCGTTTTCGTCCAGGAGTACTTCCCGCTATCCAAGACCCTCCTAGAACTTCACTTCCCCAACCAGTCGACGGGCCATGGGGTTAGATATAAGCAGCAGTCGTTGGTTACGGAGAATGTTCTTTGGGGGTACATAACACAGATCGCAAATGCGCTAAAAGCGATCCACTCCGCAAACTTGGCGGCGCGTTGCGTAGACTTGGGGAAGATTATCTCGACGGATAAGAACAGGATTCGCCTTAATGCCTGCTCCATTCTGGACGTAGTCCAGTTCGAGGCGAGACGTCCGGTTCAAGATCTGCAGCAAGAAGATCTTCTCCAATTCGGGAGAGCAGTCCTATCACTGGCGTCCCTCACACCTCCTTCACTCCTTACAAACCCTAATGCGGCTATGGAGCATCTGAGCCGACACTACTCGGTAGAGCTACGAGATACGGTCTTGTGGCTCCTGACGCCCCAACAGCAGCAAGTAAAGAACATTGACGAGTTCGTCCGAGGAATCGCAACGCACTTCGTCACCTCGTTCGACCAGTCCCTTCACCAGGCCGACACACTTAGGTCGGAGCTGGCGACCAGCCTCGAAAACGGGCGCATCGCCCGTCTGATGATGAAACTCGCCACGATCAACGAGCGGCCCGAGTTCAACGGCGACACTGAATGGGCCGAGAACGGGGAGAGATATACCCTCAAGCTCTTCCGCGACTACGTCTTCCACCAGGTCGATGCCAACGGCCACCCTGTCGTAGACATTGGGCACATGATTTCGTGCCTCAACAAGCTCGATGCGGGCGTGGACGAACGCATCTGCCTGACGAGCCGCGACGACCAAACCGTCTTCATTGTCACGTACAAAAGCGTCCGGGACCAGCTGAGGGCTGTGTTCACCGACCTCACGCGGGCGTCGAAGGGAGGCCGCGGAGGTCTGTAGAGGATGCGCCCTCGTCTGTACTACCCCCCACCCCCGAGGCACATGTCCATGGTGCCGATTCACTGCTACCACCGCTACTTTGGTCCTCCCCCGAGACACTTTTCATATCCTATTTGAGCAAGCTTACGGAAAGCACCCCCGGATTTTTATATAGTATACCTTGTTTATGCTCTTTTTGAAACAGCGATGAGGAATGATGATGGATGAATGGATGGTGAAGGAGTATGTGTGTATACAAATACGTCGGTTGACAGCGTTCTCCTTGCACAAACTGCAAGAGGAGCTTTAGGAGTCGAAACATGAGGTTTGTATAAAGCGGTTTTTAAACTCGAGCGCGTCTTGAGCGTTATTCGGGGGCGTCAAGGAATGAAGGAGGGTGGAAACGGGGGAGTCTAGGCCGGAAATGAAGAAACAAATAGGTTTTGTTTTTGTTTTTGTGTTTTTACCCGCTGCCAAACGGAACGGAGTTTCTGGCTAGAAAACGAGTACACCTCCTATGGCGGAAAGGTACGAAAAGAAAAATAACAATGGGAAGCGGGAGGGGGAGCACATATGGCCGGCCCGGTTCAAGGGGAGGTAAGGGAAAAACGAGGACGTTGTGGTAGGGATACACTTCATGATGAAGGAAAGGGATGGGATAGGTTTGGAGATTGTGTGGGTAGTAGCATGCGGTCTCTATTTTCTTTTTTGACTCTGTTTTTCTGATTTTCTTTTGGCCTCAACGCCGAGTTATACTCTCATGATGACCTCGTGTTAAGTGTGATGTGGTGAAATCGCTACAGGATGGATCAAGTCCCCGATAACAGGCTTCCCCGTAGTAAGTCATAGCCCCTGTCACCCTTCCATGCCTACCAGCATCGATATCTCCTCGCCAACGCCTTTGCTTCTACCGGGTTCCAAGTGTTTTAATCTTTCGGGTGCTTCACCCCTTGCCGCTTGCCTCTGGGGAAACCAGTCTCCGATTCAGCCATCCCGTTACGCAGTAGTTCCCTCCGTACCCTCCTCAGGACCCAAAGCGACACCAAGCACCCAGCCACAAACCTTCCTCGCCACATCCTTCACCGTCTTCTCCCTCCCATCCAAAAACACATACTCCGGCTGCGTCTCCCAAGCAATAGTCAAGACCCTCGGCTCGCCGTTCTGCCCCAGAATCTGGCCCCGAAACATATCATGATGCGCGCCCTCGCATCCGACATCGATAATAAGCTCAAACACCTTGACCCCCGTCCAGCTGCGGTGGAAATTGACGCGGAGCAGACCTTGGCTATCAGGGCCATCACTGTAGATGAACCACATGTCGTCCGTGGCGCGGGTTTCTTCCTCCATCACGCGCGTGGGGAGGGTATGGGCCATGGGAACGGTGCGGTCGAGTTGGCCATCGGGGCCGGGGGCGTGGGGGGGAGGGAGGTGGGTGTCTAGGACGGTCGGTAGGAAGCCGAGGGCTAGGAGGGGGATGTCGGAGGGGAGGAGTTGGATGAGGAATCGGGATGATTGGGGGTGGCGGAAGGGGGTGTTGGGCCAGTCTTTGGGGAGGATGCGTTTGAGCGGTGTTATGCCGCGCTGGCCGAAGAGGTCGAAGGCGTTGTGGGCGCGGCCGGAGTCTATGGCTTCATCGAGTTGAGGGACTGAAGGCTGGGTGGCAGCCGGTGCGTAGAGTGTGGGTTGGGAGGTTGCGGGCTCAGACTCGGTCGAGGTTGGACCCTGGGGTGGGGGGACGATCCCCTCTGGCTCGGATACAGTCGTGGGATTCAGTGACTGGGGGTCTACAGGGTCCGACTCGGGTGTAGCTGGATCCTGGGGAGTGGGGATGATCCCCTCTGACGTGGGCGAGTGTGTTGGATTCATTGATCAGCAGATTCAGATGAGAGATGTCGAAAAAAGGATTGCTGGCCGGGTAGAGTTGGATTCTGGTGATGGCTTTCCTGATGAAGTGATTCTATAAGAGAGATCAATGACATGGAGACAAAGAGCGGAAAGAAGACGATGAGGTAGGAATACCTTGCGGGGGTAAGTCACAACAGGAAGGCTAGGAGGTGGGAAGGAGCAATAGATGTCGCTCTTTCCTGGCTCGAAACTCTCTGCCTCGTGACTGTCTTCGTTGCGCATCGAAGGCTTCCTTAATCGGGCCGAGTATCTGCCGCTTATCTGTCACTCCTTCTGAGAGGCTAGATCGACAATCCATCCTCCATACACTCTCCACTGAGAGGGCCCATCGCCATGGGGACCGCAGCAGCTCAAGATGGCAAGGCCGACAGAATTCGTGTCAATTCCGAGATACCTTCCCACCTTGAACCAACAGCCTAGCATCGATCTCTTCCTTCTTCAACCCAGGTCTTGATTCTCGTTCGTCTTTCCCCTGAGGTTTCAGGGACCCGCCGTAGACATGAAAGTCCTGACCTTGATGGGGTCTCCCTATAAATCGATTTGTCCGCCATTCGAAGGTCGTTCTCATATCATAGCCACTCTTCAATCTCCGATCGCCTCCTACGCTGCCTTTCGGTTGTCTCTATTCCCCAGTCCCCGGATCTCATCGGCAAAATCGTGCCAACCTCCGAGTTCTCGTTCCGCAATGGCTGAGGCTACACCAGATGTCATGCCATGCAACGGATGCCACAATCTCCGGAGTCCCCATTTCGAAGCAGAAATATCCGTCATACTAGCATGTGCAGCCAGATGCGACTCCTGCGCCCTCCTCAAGGAGAGCATCGAAAATTTTGTCGATGTGAACAAGGTTCAGCGTGTCTCTGGCATGATCGACGGTCCGCTCTATCTCTCGTTGACGATGAAGCCCGGTGGCGTAGATTTTGTCATTGAACTCTTCACAATAGATGGTAGGAATGCGACATTCTCCCGTCATTGCTGATACTTCTTATGCAGGGGCTTGGTACCGAGCTGACGACATTCGTTTGATTCAGGCCAGCCGACAAGATGGAAGAACATCGGACGAGGCCGACTTCTTGACTTTAAATACAGGGCTTTGCCGCTGATACGCAGCTGGATCATTGATTGTAAGACGCGGCACAGGCTCTGTGATTACCATAGTACCAGCAGATTGCCGACTCGGCTCATTGATGTGGGCATTTACCCAGGCGATACGAGGCTTCGCATTACCGAGGAGGGCGATGAAGACAGGTACTTCGCCCTCAGCTACTGCTGGGGTCGTTATGAAGGTGTCACCACTACCACAGCCAACATTTCGGAACACGAGCAGAGGATAATCTTTGGCAAAACGGAACGGTTGTTCAAGGAAGTCGCGGAGATAACAAGAAGGCTAGGTGTCAGGTATCTCTGGTAAGTGAGGAACTTGCCCCTCTCCTACATCACTCTTGTTGACCAGACTTCTTTCTTTCTGTCTTTGTTTTCACTTTTTTATTTCCCGACTAACACGAGAGCTTATTGCCGTAGGATTGACGCGCTGTGCATCATTCAAGATGATGAGGAGGACTGGGCTCGCGAGACCTCCCGGATGAGGGATATATACGGTAATGCTGTATTGACAATTGCTGCCAATACAGCGAAGGATCCATCCTGCTCACTGTTAGGAAGCTGCAATATACGCGCCTCGGCCCATCAGACTCGGCTCATTGCCACCCAAGGCCCTGCTGAGATGACGCTCTCTGGTGTCTACGCCCGACGGCGATCGCGCCTCCCTTCACACACTGACACGGCCCCGCATTCAAGCGTCGGAAACCTCGTCGACCAGCTTGGGGCTCGATCATGGGCTCTTCAAGAATCTATTCTTCCCACACGAATCCTTCACTTTTACAACGAGGAAATCGTTTGGTCCTGCTTTTCCGTGCAGCGTTATGAATGCCGCATCCTCAGCTCGGCCGCTGCCCCCCGCAACCCATTTCGCAAACTACTCTCGGAGGATGGAAATCCCCATCCGGCGTCACTACTGCAAGTCTGGACTAAATCCGTCCAGGTTGTGACGCAAAGAAAGTTGACTGTCGCAACAGATAGGTTGCCAGCGGTTTCGGGGCTGGCAAGGTTTGTGCGGGACCATTTGGATTCGGGATATCAAGCCGGCATGTGGTGTGTCGACTTGCCCTATTCTTTGCTCTGGAGGAGCGATCACGAGGCTGCGCTGAAAAGGGGGGAGATGATTGAGAGGCTGCCAACGTTTCCCTACGCCCCAAGTTACTCGTGGGCTTCGGTCCTCGGCCCCGTCAAGTACATTCCTCGCCATTTGGATCAGTTTTCGTACCGGAGGAGTGGGAAGGACGAGGTCATACCTATTCTGAGGGTTTCGGCGGGGACGGCAAATCCTATGACGGTGAATGAGTTTGGACCGGCCGAGAATTGCTTTGTTGCTGCTATCGGACAGATTTTGCCAGTGGAGTTTGATGTCGAGGCCAATACGTGGAAGCTGATGGGCGGGTCCAATGATGAGGCAGGAGATTTCGAAGCTGCTGTTGCCGCTTTTGGTGCTGCTCTCGATGCTGAGAATGTGCTTCCTCCGACTTTCAGTCCCGAGGGCGGAATCGAGGCCGGGATTGGGGCCGGGACTGGGGCCGCCGAAGCCGCCAGAGAGACGCAGGTTGGGGTAGTGGAACCAACCTTCATTTTTGATGTGCTAGAGGAGTCACCTGCCGTCAGTCCTGACGTGCTGGCTGGTGGGGAAAGTTACGCTCTCTTGAGGGCAGGGAGGTACATCTGGAAGGGTACGTGGTCGACGGCGTCTACGGAGGTCGTGGCGATTATTCTTGTGAAACTCGGAACATCCCCCGAAGGGTTGGGGGTATATGCGCGGAGGGGACTTGCGCTTCATGCTTTTCATGTGGAGAAGGATTGGGGATCGGTGCCCGTGGAAACAATTCTAATTTGTTAAGGCTAGTTTGTTTGTGGATGAGGATGGGAGGGAGTCTCGTGGGAGTTGAAGGTCATTCATTCGGATTGATTCATTAGGGAACTCGTTTATGGAAGCGTATTCCTTGCGGTATGGATAGGGTGGGCATTAGAGCTGGCATATTCTTGGACGGGGCTTACTTCTGACCATTCTTAGGTACTCGTGCTCGGACGGCATTGTCTTATAACGGCTAGGCATTGGGGATAACACATTGATATTTCTTGCCAGGGGAACGCGGAGGAATGGGTGGACTTATCTACTTGTACTGAGCCAACTTGCTATAGGTTCGAGGCTTTGCTTTTCTACTCTGACGTGTATGAAGCGATCCTCTAATCGAGGACGAATTATCCTGTATAATAACACTCTATGAAAATGCCGACGCCTGCCCTTTACTGTTACAATACATCATGGATCCTGTCCAAGGCCTGCACGAGTCTCTGTTCCTTCTTTGTTGTTGAGGAGAAATCCGTTTGAAGTGATCAACGGCCTTTAAAACGTGTAAATGCCCACCCCGCAATCGCCTGCTGGAGCTGACGGTCTGTCGGAGAATAAGACAAACTGATGAGGACAGAGGGTTTCGATGGGGATGGAGAAACGCAAATCAGCATTTGATACCTTGCTTGGGGCCGCAGGTTAGATAGATGGCAGGGCTGTAGAAAGAGAGGGGGATGATGAAGTGAAGCATGTCCTCGGGCGCTCACAGGATACATGAGATGTGTTGGGTGTGTGCCTTGAAAAGAGAGCCTCATATTGGAGCGCCGCAGACTCTCAAGGCTTCCGGTTGGAACCAGCATATTCCACGAGAGCCTCTGAGATTGACGAGACAGTGTGACGGCAGTTTCTATATTCCTATAATATTGCGTGAATATTCGAGCCGTCCATCGCCCATGGGTTCTCCCCAATCTTATCGGAAATTGGGGACGAACTGAGAAGAAAACAAGATGCCCAGATCCTGACCATCCATCATATCGCCGCGACTACTAGGCAACCTTCGAGATCCCCCTACAACCATAAGCCCATCAGAAGAGTTGAATGACATCCAATGGGGAGTCCATCTCCGGCGATAATGTGAACTTTTATATACCTCACACCCCCCCCAAAGCCTTCCCGTTCCCCCACCCACTCACTTAGACGACGATTTGCTCCCCCATTCCGAAACGAGCTCCGCCCTTCCCTCTCCCATAATATCTCCGTGCATATTTCAAGATGATATGTAGGTTATAGTGGACACTCCCTCCATCCCTCTCGTATCTCCTTTTGGTCAGGTATGGCTGGAGTGATTGCGGTGTAACCTATCGTAGCGGCAGAGCCAGGGGAAACACCCCAACTCTCCACGTTATTGCGGATGAACGAGTCTTGAGTTCTTTTAGGACGAGGACATTCATTTTGTAATACGGAAACGGAGAACAGAGGGAGGGAATTTTTTTAAGTCAGATTCGCTTGTTTTTCTTCTTTTGTTTATTCTATTCTCTAAGAGTAAAACGCAAATTGAATCCGGGTACCGTGTACGAAGGAGACCAGGACTGGGGATAGTAGACTTTCCAAGGTGTATCGAAATCAAAAAGAGAATAAAAAGAAAACGTTCGGATCCCTCAACACATGCCGGAGAAGAGGGCCTACTGCCGCCGTGAAGGCTGAGGCAGAGTGTAGGTAGGCCTAGTATTCTTCCCCAATTCAATCGAGATCGCTCACGCTGGTTTCTCCAGCAGAGCCACTTTCTGCATTCCAATAGTCCACAAGCTGATCTCTCAAGTCATAGGACCGATTCCTCGCATCCTCCTGGACATTCCTGAGCTGCCTTCGAGCCTTCATCCAGGCATCATATGAGTCTGTGAGGCTTGTAGTCCCTAGGGAGTACTGATGATACTTTATCTTTCCATCAGTTTCCGATTGATCTGCATAGTGTGCAAAAAAACAGACGCTAGTTCCGTCTGAAGTGAAGGTCGTGATGGTAGCATGGCCCCGAGGGTCGGGTTTGCCAATGTACTTAAGGGCTTGGTTTCTTGCGTAGACGAGTGCAGCGCCATCATAGGCGCTTTGAATCCTTGCCTGCAACATATCTTTTCCCGGACCCTTGAATTCTGCTGCTAGATGTGGCAGGGTGATGGAATCGCCCTCATCTTCGATTAAAACCGCAACCCCCCCAAGCTGGTCATCGATGGGAAATGGCATAAACTCTCCAGCCATCAGTCCTTCAGCCATGCCCGGCTGTGGAGTGGCAAGACCATTGTTAAAGCCAAGATTATCGGGTAAGGCTGTAAACGCCTGGTCGATGACCCTGGTATAACCAGAATTCTCGTCTAAGACATTCTTTAGAAGGAGGGTGATGTGCATTTGTATCGTGGCTTCATTCTTAGCTGACTCGATGGCTCTCACGTAAGCCCGCCAGACTGATTCTGGAGGATCGATGCTCCCCCTGCGTCTGTTGATACGTTGGAGTTCATCTTCAAAGTTGTTTGGCGCCCTGGATGTTGCACGATTTAGGATGCCGTTTTTAAAGGTCTGCTTTTTGAACCCCATTGATGTCGTGGAGGTTGATTTCGCCGTCGACTCGTCTTCATCAGCAGCCCTCTTCCCGGGAATGGGCTTGTATGATCGTTTCGCATTCATCTTGTTAAGCTTAGACAAGTTCTCGTGGGTAAGTGCTGCCGGGATAGAGCCGCTGACCGAAGGGACTGCTCCGGTAGCATCTGGGCCACTTGCCGATGGAGGTTGTCGCCGAAGTCCTGCCTGCCGCCTCCGAGGCCCTATTCCTATTCCTATTCCTATTGCCTTAGCATATCGAGAAGCCCTCTCACACACAAACATGTCACATTGGCATTCTTACCTGGACCTTCGCCTATCGCTGCTAACTGAGCAGTCTTCTGCGGTCGATTGGTCGTGGATGTTCCGTCTTGCTGTGAATTTCTTGCCTGCCGGGTCTTCGCGCTTTCTCCGACGCCTCTGTCCATTGCGGTAGGCCTTTGTGACACTTGACGGGAACCTTCGATTTATGTACGTCTTCCAAACTCCAGAGACAAAGGCGTTGTCAACAGGCAGACTGGAGTCTCATTCACGGCAACACTAGGCGACCTTTGTTGGACAGTTGAAGACGAGAGTGACCACAACTTGAATTGCCAACTCGAGGTGTCATGACGACGAGGGCGACTTTATAAGGAAGAGAACTGTCTGCTCAGGCTGGCCGATATAAAGAGGGCGGACTGCTGGGGAGTCTGCATACATCTTGGTTGCTTCTGTTTTCGGCAGCGGATCCACGCCGACGCCGATCCCAAGACGACGAAGACGATAAAGACGATCCTTCACCACAACGCTTGTTCCCCATTTCGTATGCCAACTGGAATCCACCCATCAACTTCGACATTCCGAAGTTGCCGGAAGCAGAATTTAGGTCCGCGCGGATGCCCAAGTCTTGATGCGTACGGAAGGGCAAAATCCAATTTTTAATCCAGCCCATTAATTCAGCAAGATTACACCATGCCTTGTAAGACACAGATCTCCCCGAAGAGGGTTGACGACAAGAGGGTTGGATTCCAGTCTTTTGGAATCGGAACTGGCGAAGAAAGGAGCTTATGAAGAACTTCAAAAAGACTGTAGAACTGACTGCTGGAAACTTGATAATACGATATTGGTGATGTCCTGCAAACAATGGCGAGGAAGGGAAACGAAAAGGAAGCAAGAAAAAATGAAGTTGCCCGTCTCCCAGGTCCGGAGATTCCTTCCTCGCCTTGCACGAGAAGAGTGTCCATGATGTCTGATTCGAAGAATTTATGTGATGACGGCTGGGCCGAGACGGGAACGAGTCTATATTTCTAGATCGTCCAAGTCCAAAAACTACGCGATACTGGCGTTTATGCTCGAATGAATTCTCGTCAGGCACGAAGTTCGTCCAGCAACAAGGCGGAGGCTGACCCGATCACTTAAACTCCCATTTGTCTCACCTTCCTTGCTCGACATCGTAAAGACACCAATCTCAATGTTCTCCCGCGCCGTCTAATGTCGAGATTTCCGATGTCAAGGTTTCCGATGCTGGGATTTTGGCAAGACACGTCGATGTTCCAGAAATCCAAAAATAGCCCACTTTTTCGGCCCATATTTCCAAGTTGGACTAAAACGGTATATTAGATGAGATCTTGAGTTCGCGGAGCATCTCATCTCCCAAAGCTCCCCTCCCGCAAAGGCTACATACGCCGCATGCATGTGCGCAGTGCATGGCACGCATGGAAGATGGGTGGCTTCCCTCACCGGGCATAAGAAGCTTGGAGTAACCCGCCCACGCCTGGATGCTCAACGTGGGAGAGGGAGAGGGGTAAGAATGCCTACGACCTCAGTCAAACCGGAGGCTTACTTCTTTTTTCGACAGGCTTTGGAGAGGGGTTTTTCTCGAGCCACTTTACTGGCCGATTCCCCAACCCTTTAACATTCGATAGAGTCGTATTATTGGAGAGTAGTTGATGTGCGCACATGGCAGCCCCAGTCGTAGACCCTCTAAGTCCCTGTCGATCCCTGGTTGGTAAAACGCGACTTTACGCCAGATGCGAGCTGAATTGTGAGGGAGGACGCGAGGTGATTTCTCGTGTTAGTTCGTATTTTATGGGGTTTAATTTTGATTTTGGGGCTAAGAGCAGTTTTTGGACGGATCTGGCGAGATCATTGATGGATTCTTTGATTCTTTGGGGTTCAGAGCGCAATTGAAGCTCGTATTGGTTAACTGGGCCCATGTTTCATCAGAACCGAGAATCCGGGTTATGATCGAGCTGATAAACTTACAAGTGGGATTAATTCGTTCATTGATTGATTCATTTATTCCCGTGCAGCATTATTGCTTTTGCGCTATGATAATCGTAGGCTGGATATCGCCTCGGTCAGCTGTCAGTTGTCATCTGTCCTCTGGTGCTCGCAATTGCTCCAAGTGGTCCGTTTCCCGGACTCGGATCGGAGTCTCAGCGAATCCCGTGATTGACGTAACCGCCTGTGACAATTCCAGGATTTGGCAGGTCCAAGTTCCGTCACTGCGACGCTACTGATCCAGTGACGGAAAAGCGGGCAGAAGTACGAAGTACGCACTTTGACTTCATTTTCCCCACCGACTAGTACGACGCTAACTTCGCGGAAATGTATCTAATACTTTACCTCAATAGTATATAACACTTGAACTTCATGTATAGGAAACCTCGCCACTGAGCAAAGTCCTCAGCTGCTCGTTCTGGCTGGTCTGTTCTCTCCACTGCAACATCGGGGTACATTGGCGCTACTACATGTACTTCCGTACCCTCTGCTACTCCTCAAAGCTCTTTCCTTTCCTGCTCTGTGCTTAACTCAACTCAACCAAACTCGAATCCCAAACTGAGTCTCTTGAGTCTCTTGTTCTTCACATCCCGACATCACCTGCTCACTCCGGTGCTCTCCTCCTCTCCACCTCCGCATCGATAACTCTCATCTCGCCGATTCTCAACCGTCCTGCGTATTCATTGCAGTAGCTTATAATTGCTAGCAGGGAAAATAGCCCTCGCAGCTTAATTAACATTTATTCATTGCTATTGCCCCCCAAACAAACGCTCTGCCCTTGCCGCCAGCCCGTGAGCTTAAATCGCTCTCTCGAGCCAATCTGCGAGACCGGATCGACTCACGACCGACCGCGAAGCAATCTTAGCATCCCGCTTAACAAAACCAATTTCCACGATATTTTTTTTTCTCTTGAGCACGAATAACTAGGGGGAATCCAAGTCCACGGCTTCCGCCGCCGGGCGCTTCGTTCTCGCCCCCTTAACACCGTTGCTCACCGATAGCCACTGGTAGCTAGGCCTGGCCCTTGAGGGTAGGACAAGATGGAAGCGTGAGTAGAATAAATCTTCTCTTTCCCAGCTAACCCTCCGCTTTCTTTGTTAACGAGATCCCAGCTTCATCCGCGTCTCGCCCTGGACAGCCTTCACGTCCGAGTCCCCCGAGCCCCAAAATTCCTCCCCGAAGCCCACCGGTCGTCGTACCTTTGGCCACTTCCGCTCCCTCTCCTCTATAACCTCCACAACCACCACCAAGTCATCGAGTCCCACTCGGCCCTCACCTCTACGCCATGGCCGCTCCCCATCGACGCCGCAGCTTCCCGACTTCAGCTTCCCTCTCAAGACTTCGCCTCCCATAACGCCGACATCACCAACCGCCGATGACGACTCCGATTTGAGCACTCTTCCCGATCCGCGCATCCGTGCCATGAGCCCCCAAGCGAACGGTAACGGTTCCGTGGTGAGCGACGGCGAGGCTGAGCCCCAGGATGAAGTGACCGCCCTCAGCACGAAACTCATCCGCGCTATCAACCACCAGACAGCGCTGGACAACAGTCTCGCCGAAGCGAGGCAGGAACTTGAGCAGGCCCGTGAGCGCATACGCCAGCTCGAGGCGTTAGTAGCGTCGCAGCGCGAAATGCTGGCCGGCGACGTCTGGGTACGGCGCAAGACAGTTGAGTCGGAAAAGAAGGCCTGGGCCGCCAAGGTCGCCGAGGAGAAGAAGGCGAAGCAGGAGGTAGAAAAGGAAAAGCGCAAGATCGAGCACGAGCTGGAGAACCTGACGACCGCGCTCTTCGAGGAGGCTAACAAGATGGTCGTGGCCGCGAAGGAGGAGGCGCTGAGGCAGCAGGAGGCCATGGAGAAGAAGAACGAGCAGCTACGCGCCCAGATTGTAGACACCGAGAGTCTCCTGCAGTCGCAGCAAGAGCAGCTCGCCGAGCTCAAGATCGTCATGGAGCAGATGACGGCCGATCACGACGACCAGACGAACCTTACCGCACCGTCTTCCCCTGGCTTCAGCAGGTTCGATGCCAAGGACCAGGAGAGGAGTTTGAGCGGCGACGGCGGTCTGCTGTCTTCCCCCTTTGTCGAACCCGTCTCGCCCGCATCCCCGACAAGCTTTGTCCACCTTATTCAGCCCGTGTTGCGGACCGATTTAGCTGCCTACGAGGACTTTAGACTACTTAGCCGCACTGCCAAGCACAACCGCTCCGGCAGCCGTGCCTCGGCGTCATCGCTCAGCGGCATCAATGGTATGAATCTCGGCCTCAGCGTGACGGGGTCCTCCACTTCCTCCTCCTCTGCTCCCAATGGCAACGGGAACGGTTCAGCAAATCACTCCTCCTCTCCCTCCACGTCGTCCCTGCCCAGTGGTATCGGATCCGCCGCCGCCTCCCCCAAGGAAGGTTCGCAGACGCCCACGCCAACAACGACGGGCTCCCTCAAGGACACCAAATTCTACAAGCGCGCCCTCGTCGAAGACATCGACCCCACTCTCCGCCTCGACACCGCCCCAGGTATCTCTTGGCTCGCCCGCCGCGGCGTCCTCAGCGCCATGACTGAAGGTACCCTCGTCGTCGAGCCGGCCCCTTCCACGCTCCCGTACCCCACAGCCATTCACCCCCAGCACCACCCATGCTCCCTCTGCGGCGAGTCCCGCAAGGAACCCGAGCACCTCCGTACCCACCGATTCCGGACGAGCGAATCCGACTCGGCGCAGCGATATCCCCTGTGCGCCTACTGCCTCGGTCGTGTACGTTCGACGTGCGATTTCCTCGGCTTCTTGAGGATGCTCAAAGATGGTCTCTGGAGGACCGATGATGCCGATTCGGAAAAGGCGGCGTGGGAGGAGAGCGTGAGGCTCCGCGAGCAAATGTTTTGGGCCAGGGTCGGCGGCGGCGTGGTTCCTACGGGACACGCTGTTGTCGCGTCCTCTGCTGCCTCTTTACCAGCTTCAGCGGTGGCGGATGTCGCTGAGGAAGGCGAAAAGGAAAAGGAAAGCCCTCGACAAGAAGGGGTCGGAGAGGACGATGGCGATGCGGAGGGAGAAGGGGAGGTGGTTACACCGAGCCCGAGCCCGAGGAACTCGACCCAGGGAGTCAAGGGCTTGGAGATTAATGTGACGAGTCCCGGGATGGGGAACGTCTCGGAGGTTCTTGCTGCTTTGAAGAGTTGAGCTTTTTTTTTTTTTTATCACTTTCTTTTGCTTGTTTGGTTTTCTAGTCTTTTTGCTCTTTTTTGCTGTTGTTTGGCTTACGGTCGCTCGTTTTGGATCTTTCGAGAACAGGGTTTTTGGCATTCATCACTCGCTTGCATGGCATATTTGGCGTTTGGAGACTCCTTTACATCAGGGAATGGGTTTTCTTGCCTTGTCTTTTCCTCTCTTTTCTTCTTCTTCTCTCTAGGTATCAATGGGGTTATGGGCTCAAACGGAAGGATCGAAACGGATTGGAATGGGTTTTATGGGGTATAACAAACCAGCTTTGGAATTCGAAGGGAGTTTTACAGCTTTGTTGTCCTTTTCGCGGCATATAGACTTGGAAACTTGATGGATTGGAAAAGAAGAAAGGAAAACAACGAGACGAAAGGGGATTCCATACATGGATAAGTAATACATTTTCTTCTTCTTTTTCTGAAGCTTTGCGTGATGTGATCTTTCGTCGCGGTTGTAAGTATGCTGCCCGTGCCCCGTACCTTGCCTCCTGGTATAGTCTGACATCCTCTAGAGGATGAATCAAGTCCAACTTCTCGCCTGTCCTTCCTATACTCACCACCGTTGCTCGCGCCCCAACCGCTCCGCGTGGAACTCCCACGCATCTTCCGCGCACACCAAGTCCCCAGATGGCCAGAGTCAGCCGGTCCATAACACACCAACCTGAAATCCACTTAGGACATATATCACCTCATCCCATAGCCGTCCCATAAAGTTGTTTGCTATCAAACGTGCCGAAAGGTGCGCGACTTGTGCGCAGCCATCAAGCTTCAAGATGTGAGGGTTCCACACCATCAGTGTATATCCGCGGAAAGTACTTGAAATATCCAATTCCCATAAATCCATACATCCCCAAAGACTCTTCATGTATTACGCTATGATAGACGTTGCCGTTTACTTCGTAGCAGCTCAACAACTGCCTGGTGCCCATTCTCTACTGCTAAGCTTAGCGGCGTCTGGCCATGCCAGTTCTTAGCTTCTAAGTCAGCCTTTCCAGTATCAAGTAGCAGCTTAACAACTGCCTCGTGCCCATTCTTTGCTGCTAAGCTTAGTGGCGTCTGCCCACGCCAGTTCTTAGCTTCTAAGTCAGCCTTTCCAGTATCAAGCAGCAGCTTAACAACCCCCTCATGGCCGTTTTTAGCTGCCCACGATAGCGGCGACATCCTATCTGACCTATCCCGAACATTGGGGTTGACCTTCCCAGTATCGAGTAGTAGCTTGACAACTGCCTCACGCCCATTCTCTGCTGCTAAGCTTAGCATCGTCTGGCCACCCCAGTTCTTCTCGGCATCTAAGTCAATCTTTCCAGTATCAAGTAGCAGCTTAACGACTGCCTCATGCCCATTCTCTGCTGCTAAGCTTAGTGGCGTCTGCATGCGCCGGTCCAAAGTAACTAAGTCAATCTTTCCAGTATCAACCAGCTGCTTAACAACTGCCTCGTGCCCATTCTTTGCTGCTAAGCTTAGCGGCGTCTGGCCATGCCAGTTCTTAGCTTCTAAGTCAGCCTTTCCAGTATCAAGTAGCAGCTTAACGACTGCCTCATGCCCATTCTGTGCCGCCCAGAACAGTAGTGCTTTTTTTCCTAATGTATATTCATCATTTAGGTCGAGATTGTAGGTATCAAGGAGCAGCTTGACGACTACCCTGTGCCCATTCTCGGCCGCCCAAGACAGCGGTGTCTTGACAAGCACCTCGACCCCCTTTTCGGCCGCCCAAGACAGCAGCCGCGTTCGATCAGCGTCTAGGGCAACCTTGATAGCATCAAGCAGCAGCTTAACGACAACTTCGTGCCAGGCCTCTGCCGCCATTAACGGCGCCCATGCGTCCTTGTACATGATAAGAAGGTCTGTCATTCTTTTTAACTTTCCATCAACATTTCTCCAACGGCTGACCATGTCTCTCGAAGCAGCCTCAAAGATCTTCATTGCTTTTCGGAGATATTTCCGGCTCTTTTCGCGGCCGTTGACTCCTTGCAACGCCATTCCAACTTTCCCCAACCTGATCGCTTTGTTCAAATTATCCTCCAACTCTGTTTTGGAGCATTCATGAGGTCGACGGTGTACGAAGTATTCGCGATCTTCTCCGTCTTGTGACTTGCTAGGGTCCATATCCCAGTCCCACACAAGCAGAAAATCATGCGGAAAGGTTGTTGTCGAATGTAAAAGTTCAGTCCATTTGGTATCTCTAGTTGGTCCATGTAGATCGTCTGTCGGGGGCACCGCAGTCATTATAACGATCCAATGATCGTTGTATAGCCGGATGATTGTAGGCCGCGACGCTCCTTGTAGAAGGCAGACGAGATCTCCTCCTTGAATAGACTTTGCAGGGGCCTGGAAGGTCCAGCTGGACTCCGGTGTCTCTTCTATGCCAATACAGTAAGGATGATCCCCCCAGGCAATTTCCACAATCTGTCTGTCTTCCCAGTTGGTATCCCTCATAGCTGACAATACTTCGCCGAGAATGAGGCCCTTGCCCTCAATAATCGCCATCTCCGTATCATCCCGGGTGTGCACTGACATCTGTTCAGAGATGAGGAAGTTAACCAGTCGCCGGAAGAGCTCTCTCCATAATATGCCATAGTCGGCTGATAACCCTGCTAACCCAGGACTATCGGAGCACATGCCGAGTAATGCGTAGACCTTATCGCGGGGATCGGTGGCTTTGCGAGTGTGGTACATATCTACCAGCTCACCGAGGGTGCATATGTTGAGTGAAAACCTGTCAAGGTGATGACTAGTCGCGCATCTAGGCCGGAGCGCTGCATCCCTTATAAGGTAGGTTGCCGAATAGATCAGAGCTTGCCGGTCTGGGCAAGTTTCGTAGGATAGTTTCAATGCGCTCAGGCCTGAGCAGAAGGCATATCCGTCAATCTCCGTGTGGCCACACTTGATCAGTATATGCCGGGCTGCGGCAACCTCTTGAAGTACCTATAACATTGTCAACAACCTCAGCTAATATTGTTATTTTTGTAACGTCCGTTCCCTTACCCAGATACGTTCAAACCATGGCCGCTGAAGCAGCGTGAGAATCGCTTTCTGGTCGAGTCCTCTGCCGCCGCGATACGCTCTACTCCACGCGTTCGCTTCGTCGGTTGAGGGTGTCCTAGACTGCTTGGCTGCAGCAACGCGTATATCTTCAAGGGCTTGATTACTGTCGGCAGCGGCCTCTCCAAGCCATACAATTACACGACTTGCTTTAGCGAAGATCTTCGCCATAGACTGAACTTGAAGTCCCTTTTCAGCTAGGTTTCCTTGGTCGATACAAACAGCATCTATCCATAGGATTCGCTCCAAAAAGCGACTTCGAAGATGCAACAACGCCGCGTGAAGGTTTTGGCCGACTAGGAAGCTATGATTATCCATAGAGATAGACTGAGGCTTTTCCTCAGAGCCCCATACGTAGGATAAAGCCTCGTACGGATAAGTGCTTTCTGACTCAAAGAGAGGGCAGTCGAAGAGCTGGCACTGGATGGGGGAATTCTTGTCTTGATGTGGCAGAAGCCGGATTAGGCGAATACTGCCCTCCGGCAAAGAAGAGTACGAGTATGAAGACATGGCTAAGAGAAGGTGTACTGAATGAAGCGCGAAGTTCGAACTGACAAATGTTGTTTTTGGAGATGTGATCGTTGACTTTTTTTTGTTGCTCGTTGCATCTTCTTGAGTGTTCTCAAGACCCTCTGGCTTCCAATTCCGATTAATGCGTTTTGTAAGGAGGCTGCGGGTTGCTGCCTGATGCAAGCCAGATCAATAGGTCTATGAGCATGCAGGCTGCGCCACATCTGATCGAGAAGGGTGAAGAAGAGAGCACCACACACCTTTACAGATACAGAAGGCGGTTCCGAACTCCCGGCCAGGCTCTGGCGCTATATTGGGCCAGACAGCCACGGTAGTGTTGTGGTCATCTTTCCTACTTGTCTCCTCTAGAATCGAGCCATAAACCATTGCGTACAGATAGCACATCACTAGCCATCCCAATTCCTTGACCTAGCTCGAGATATTGTGTTTGTGGTTCAGAACAGAATCGTTTCTCAAGTTTACTCCGAAGCAAACGGTCTATCTAGGCTAGTAGAAAGCATAATCCTGGCCCGAACGAATGGCTCATGTTCTTCCAGCAATTTCGCGACTTCGGATTGGGCGACAGGCTGATCGGGAGTTTGACCTCGGGAGTTTGACCTGTCAAACTACTCCGCAACATTTACCTCCTTTCGTAGATTCTTGAACAATTCGAGCGTTGGTGGCTGTGGCGCCCCGGTTCTCAGCCCCTTTAACCCATACCCTAACTCGTGGGAATGCCTACAGCCTGCTCAAACCCACTCATTTTGAGTTGTCCATGGTGTAAGTCATCATATCCTCGGCTCAATTTCTAACCCTGACTTTTACACGTTTGGTGAATATAGCTGCGACTAAGGATACCCGAAACGAGCCAAAGCCATGGCGGGACATAATGTGTGATTTAGCCCAGTGAAAGAGTAGCGCCGCGCCGCGATTGGCTTTGGGAGACACAGCGCTCGGGGGTCTCATGGTGACACTTGATGGGGGTGGCTGATCTTGGTGAGGAAGCGGTCGAGTTTGGTTGGATCGACGAATAAACAGGCTCCCACCTCAACGAGAATCAGTATCTCTAGGCCTGTCCCGCTGGCTGCAAGGGTCATGGTCTCCTTAGGCGAGCCAGATTGTATTTCCTCCCCATGTTTTCAGGACGATGGTAGCGGATAGTTCTGCAATGGCATCATAAAGCTTTCTCACAACTAAACTACAAACTTACATCTATACCCGTTCGATCCTTTTGAAGTCCCATCCCATACATAATAACCCTTCTAATCCATCCTACGTCGAGGGGAGTTGGAAACCAATGACAAGAAACACAAGATAGAAGGAGGGGAAAAAAATTAACTAGACACAAAGAAGAGTTTCCGCGTTTGGAATAAGAGGGTTTTTGGTAACGAGACATTGAGTAAAAGAAAAGGAACGGGGGGAGAAAAGGTCAAGTACACAGATCCCCTGAGACACATCATCTCACAACTCATGGAGGGTTAAAATCATGAAACCCATTTTCCACACAAGTCTCAAGAGATAATCGACATCGTATCCCAGGACTCAAGCAGCAATGTCCTCTACCACGACATCTTCCACCACCACCGCCGGCTCCTCCGCCTTCTCCTCAACAACGGCACCCTGACCAGTCGCCTCATTTCCCTCACTAGCAGGCTTCGCCTCGCTAGCCTTAGCTTCAGCCTTGCCCTCCCTGCTGGGAACCTCCTCGCGGGGGATCGGGTCGTCGGGGCGGCCGAGCGACTTCTTGGTGTTGGGGTCAACGCCGTCGACGTCCGGGTGAGGGGGCGCATATTCCTGGGGGATGGGCTGGCCGTCTTCGCCCAGAATGACCTCATTGCCGTCCTGGTCGACAATGCGCGTGCGGGTCTCGTAGCGCGTCTTGAACTCGACCTTGCCCTCGAGGGCCTTGACCTGCTCTTCGTCGAGGAGGTTGCCGTCCTGGTCGCGGTACTCTATCCGCTCCTCCTGGGCGAGGATGCGCTGACCCGCCGGTACGGCAGGCGCACCGCTAATACCCGCCTGCTCTCCCACGGCCGGCTGCGCATCTTGGGCCACGGGGACCTGAGGAGGAGGCTGCTTGGCCTCGACGGGCTTGGCGGAAGTGGACTGCGCAGCGCTCGAGCTAGGGGCGGGCAAGCTGTTGTATGCGTCGTACTGTTTCGGAGTCAGTATAAGTTATGCTTTATTACTCTAATATCAGGCGGTTTGTGGGGGGGGGGGGGGGGGGGGGGGGGGAAGGCGACTGAAGACTTACGCTCTCGAGGAAAGTGTTGCAGTCAAAGTCCCAAGTAGGGAAAAGCTTGACGCGCTTGCACTGGGCCTTAGTCCAAGTGTTGCCATAAGCAAGGGGCGAGTATAGACCAAAGACGACAACGGAAAGGGCTAGCAGAACAACGGCGCCGGTCTTGTTAAAGATGCTGCCGCCGCGAGCGCCAGTACCAGGAGCGGTACGGGCGGTCAAGAAGTCAAACACCTGGGAGAAGGCGACAATGGCGAAGTAAAGGGCCGGGAAGTAGTGGTGCAGGAAGAGCTGGCGCTTCATGAGGTAAAATGGGAAGTAGTGGAACGCCCAGCCGAGGACTGATGTGCCAATCTCGTAGTCGAAGCGCTTGAAAAGGACGTGGTTGTAGTCGCCGCAGCTGCGCTGCCATCGGAGGACGGCGATGCCCTTGAAAAGAACATAAACGACGACAGCAAGAGTAGAGCTCCACCAGACGACCGGGTTTCCGAGGAGGTAGACTTGGCGGTGGTTGCGGCCCCAGAAATTGATACCGCGACGGAGGATGGGCCACGACTCGGGGCGCGAATCCCACGCGTGAGAGTCCGTAAGACCGGCATTGGTCTTCCACATAACCTTGTGGAGCTCAAAGAACTTGCCGAGAAATCCAGGGTTGGCGTAGTTCACCTTCTCGGCGTTATCGCCGAGCTGAGGATGCTCGTTGTACTCGACATACCAGAGGGAGTTGGGAAGAGTACCACCACGGGCGCAAGTAACCTCCTGCTGCTCAGAAGCCCAGTCAGGAAGTTTGACCTTGTGCGAGAAGAGGACACAGCCAGTCATGACGTGGACGAGCTTGAACTTGGTCTGGATGGTTCGGAGTCGCTCCTTGGCCACAGCACCCTTAGACTTGGACTTAACAATCTCGATGCGGAAGTAGTCGTTGGCATCGCCCTCGAAGCCCTCGTAACCGTACGCCGAAACCTCATTCTGCCAGTCAGCTTCCGTGACAGGGGGCCGGACATCGTGGGAATGGAGGCGGCGGTGGGTGGCGGTGTGGTAGAGACGGAGGATAGCACCATTCTTGATGTACTGAGGCTCGGGGAGGCTATCCCAGGCATGGGTGCCGTTAATAGGCTCGCCATGGATATCGAGAGGCTGAGTCTGGTTCTCGAGCAGCCAGCGGTTGTTGTCATCCTTGTGGGGGTACAGAGTGATCTGTTGCTGCTTGCTTCCCGTAGGGTACATCAAGGGGTGCGAGTGGAGGTAGCCGCCCTGGGTGTTGACGTGGCGGATGGTGACTCGGCTGCCAAGCATGACATCGGCGGGGACGTCACGCATTCCCTTCGAGTTAAGAGTGGACTGGAACTCGGAGCTCATAAAACCGTCGCCGTCGCCGGGGTTGCGCAGACACTGGAAGTGGATCGCGAACATCGCCATGTAGAAGGTGAGGGGAATAACGATGAGGCAGAAGGCGCGGGCGAGGAAGTGCTTGAACCAAAGACGGACAGAGACGTTCTTGGTGTCGCCGAGAAGAACCCAGAGCTGAACCAAGGTCAAGCTGCCAACCCAGGCAATGGTGAACAGACCAACCCACTTGATGCTGACCGTGACGCCTAGACCGAGGCCGGTCAAGGCGAGCCAGAACCACCAGCTAAGCTGGAAGGCCTTCTCAGGACCCTGCTCATGCTGGTTGGTGAAGGACGAAAATGCCATGGCGGTGAAGGCAGTGGCAATCATGAGAGGCGAGTCGAGGAGGATGAGGCGGGCCTGAGTCAAGAGACCATTCTCTGGGGAAAAGAAGCCGTATTAGTGTTTGTCTGGAAGTATCAGCTCCATCTATCGAATACATACCAAAAACAATGAAGAGAGCACCCATAGCAGCAGTCACAGTTCGGCATCCAGTGGCCTTGAGAGTCAAGAACATGGTGGGAGCCAGCAGAATACCGCAAATAGCAGGGAACAGACGCATGGCGACGTAAGGTACACCAGGCTCAATATAATCCTTTCCAATCTCCTTGAAGTCGAAGTCACCCTTGAAGCCAGCGAGCCAGCCTGTAAGGGCAATCAGCATCTTGGCCAGGGGAGGATGTACATCCATGAAGAATTTGCCCTTGATGTATTTTGTCGCGAATCCACCGAAACTGCATTACAAAAAAATGGGCAAAGTCAGCTTCACATTTCTTTCAAGCATAGTGCACATGAGAACAAAGCTTCTCAGCAGGTGACAAAGGGAAACTCACTGGACCTCATCAAAGACGACGCTAGTAGGTTGGTAAATCCTAAACAGCCTCACAATAGCAGAAATCACGGTAATACCAAGCATCACCTGGTAATCCGAGCTTGGTAGGAGGAAGACGTCATGGTCCTCTACGCCCTCGGACGCATACGACTGCGAGGCCTTGGACTTCTTGGACTTGTTCTTCGAGGCGGTGGGAGGAGGGGCAACGGCGCTGCTCCCACTCTCGGCGGGTTTGGGCGTCCGTGATCGGGCCATCACGGGCTAGAGTATTGTGAACGCGGCTGTCGATCGACTATCGTGGGGGATTTGGCTGTCGATCAGGGTAGAGCTTCGTTCGGCGTCAACCACGCAATTCGGTTCAAATTCGAGGGCGGTTACGTCGCCAATTGTACGGTAGAGAACAGGTAGTTAACTGGGAATTAACGAGAGTCGAGAAGTGGAAGAAACGTATTAGGTCGTAAGGTCTGAAAAGGTCATGGGGTAAAAAAAAAAGAAAAAGAGCTGTATGGAAGGGAAATACAATCCGACGTCGAGAGCCGTTAGACCCGCGATGCCATCAAAATTCCAAGATTCCCCCCGGCAGTCCCAATGCAGAACTCCGGCGAAGAAACTCTAAAAGAAGGTTGAAGGAAGAGGATTGTTCGTTTCGGTTGGGTTGAGGAAGCGGAAGGGAGATGGAGGGGATGGATTAAAGGGGTGAAGGCTGAAGGTTGACACCAAAAAAAGGACAACGATGCGAGGTGGAATTCGTGGAGCTGCGGCTGTGCGACTCTGGACTCTGGAGCAAGACAACGAGGACGTGGAGGTACTTCGTCTTCGTACTCCCAAGTACAAAGTATCTGTCTCTGAATAGGGGACGCACTCTGAGATGGCAAGTACGATGAGGATGACGTCTATATTTCACACTGTATAGTTTTCGCCAACTCCTTCCTCATCCACAGTGCAAGTTCCCGGTCGCCACCCGCGCTAGGCTGAACCAAGTCTGATTACGTTGTCCACCACGCCAATATTCAAAGTACCCTTCTGGCTCCAAATTTCCAGGAAGGTACACAGGTACTCCTGGCTAAGCTCCTGAACGCCCAATTCTCGTGTTCCATTTCCCTTTATCGATCCCGTCCCGGATATTATCACACTATCCTTGAACCGGCCATAAAATGTTCTATTCTTGTCCATTGATCAGCCCGGTCGCCCAGCAAGGACCCAGCTTCTCAAAACAGCTATTGATCTCCTGGTCCCATTAACACGCTGAACCCCAAAATATCCAGATTCGACAGAAGAAACACCTCTTTCCAGGTACAACATTTCAGCTGAACCCAGCAATACTACTAATTCCTTCCCGTCTCCTAAAATCGATGAGAGGGAAGGCCGGTTGTTCCACCATGCCGCTGACAGAAACATTTTGTCTCACGATTGAGCTAGGAGAGCGCATTTGGTGCTACACATCCGATCAGGCCACCTGTTAGCTTCGGCCATGTCATCGAGCTTTCTACCTCCACCCTTATGTTTCATGCTTTTGGAACTCACAGCCTGGCGACCCAGGCGGTTTGCGAAGCAAAACCCCTGAATCGGACCGCTAGAATGTCTTTCAAGGCTTTCAAGGACTCATCTGTCAATCTGCCAATATTGGATTCTTTGGATTCAAGCCAGGTTCTACCTCAACATCACGTGGGCCGTCCTCCGACCTCGTTCGGCGTGTTCTTTTATATCCGAATCGACTAGTTTATTCAGTACGACTCGTAAACGTAGTTAGTGCATTGTGAATCGCCATCAACTGTGGGTTCGGAGTCGTCATCCATCTAGAGGGGGTGTACTTCGTAATTATCTCTACTTCACGTCTAAGTCTACGCACCTCTGGCTCTTCCATCTAGAAGCCTCGCTGTTCTGTGTACTACCCGCCCACTCATCAATCCTACCACTAAGTTAAACTAGAAAGATAGATATATATAGAGAGGGAGGGGATAGCAGAGACGGAGATACTAAGACAGAGGGGGAAAAGGAAGATCCAGGTCCAAGCCCAGGGACGCTTTTGAGCTTTGTGGGAATCGTATAATCACAGAGTCACCTCGACTTCAGCGAGAGTATTAAAATCATACTTGATATCCGAGGTCAATTCCCATTATCCTCACACTGACATTAATAGTAAGAACCTATCGAACCCTATATAATAAAGGAAACCTGCCTCCCTCCTTAGCCCATCCCGTCCCATCCCGTCCCATCCCATTATCATAGATTATGACTTCTGAAACCTCCATATTTCAACTTACAAAAACACCTCTTCCGTTAACCAGAGATCAACTTTGCTTGCTCTGTTCTGTTCTGTCCGCCCATGCTGTTATTTTTTGTGTCGATATAATTCATAAGACGTCGTAAGCTCTGCCTCCCAAAACATATCCATCACCTCAATCCACAAACAACTCGGAATGAACATCCTCCTCTTAATTTCCTCCTCTTTCTTGGACACCCCGAAATACAAATGTCGTACCATAAATAGGAGAAGGAAAAAGGAAAACGGAAAGGACAGGAAAGGGACAGGAAGTCCCTCGCACGCTAAGAAAACCAGTAGTAGTACAGAAAAGTGGCCCATTTGCTTCTTAGCGATTCAATAGGCATCAGCAGGCGTAACTTCTCGAAGCCAGAAACCACGAAGCAGCCAACTTCCTCGGATATTTCCCAAGGAACCCATCACTTAAGGCTCACCCCATCATTCCAACATCCCCATCAACATCACTAGCCACATCGCTCCCCGTATCACAAGTATCCGTACTCCCGGGACTCTCGATATTCATCGCGCCGAGCCTCTTCCTCTGAGATGCCGTCAAAGTCTGCTGCTGTTGCTGTTGGTGCTGTTGTTGCTGCTGTTGTCGTCTCTGCTTGACCATCTCCGTGATGCCGAGGTAGAATTCCTCGGCCGCCGGGTCGAACCCGGTCCTCGCGCGGCAGTTGTTCCGGTCGCGGAAATGTCGGAGGATGTGCTCCTTGAAGTTGTCCAGCCTGTTGAAGCTCGGTCTCATGGCGTTGTCCTTGCAAAATGGGCATCGGTTCTGCATGGGCGAGTGCCATCTATTGAGGAGAGATGGTGTCAGCTAGCTAATTCAAACATCGTACTGCTTCTGCCGGGTGAGAGGCGGGGATCGAGTCTTTTTCTCGTCGGAGGAAGAGGAAATGAAGCTTACGTCGTCATGTGTCGAGTGAGGTTCTCCTTCCAGCTGTAGGACTTGCCACAGCCCTTGTGCGGACACTTGAACCTCTTGTTACCTCCGCTCTCCTCATCTCCTGAATGATCCTTCGATCGGCCTTTGCCCGCGCTGATGGCACTAGCTTTCCTCTTGCTTCGCGTAGCCCGCTCTTGGCTCGACGCAGAGTCAGCACTACCTCGTCGATCACCGCCGGCCGCGGCTCCCGCCAACGCAGAGAGCGCCATCTTGACAGCCTCGGGCATTTGGTCCGGTGTAAGTCCTCCGGGACCGGGGGATGGGAAATTGAAGGTAGGTAGAGAGCCATGGGGGTGAGAGTCGGCGCTGCTGCCGCAGTTGGGGGCCCCCGATCTAACCGAACCTGTTTGGGCCGGGTTATTACTGGTGAAGCTTGAAGCGGCGCCATAGTTGGAAACCGCTGGGCCGCTTGGTGCCGACAGGGTATTCTCCGAGATGTCGACGTGCGAGTTCCGCCGAACTTCGGCTGGCTGGGACGGTGCCGTAAGTGCCGAGATGGAGGGAAGACTTATCCTCCGGGGCTGGTCCAGCTGGAGAGTGGCGGCGGCGGTAGCGCCCGAGCTGTACTTGCAGTCAGGAGGGGAGTGGCCTGTCCTGGATGATCTGTACGCTCGCGGGTCGGTAGGAGATGATCCAGGGATACGTTCTACGCCGGGGAACCAGTCGCGAAAGCGGTCGCCGGCGCTGCTTGGAGGAGCCATGCCGGCATAGGGATTCGGGTTCGAACACATGGCGTTGCCGCACCCGCTCTCCATGGGGGCGGAACTCGCACCGTATTGGCGAGGAAATGCAGTGCGGGGTTTCGAAGACGGAGAAGGTGATGAGGAAGATGATGATCGTGAAAGAGGAATGCTGCCAGTTGCAGGGCCAGAGGCAGGGAGGAAAGGCGTTCCTACCTCTCCGGTAGAGGCGCTCACGAAGGTCGCAAAGCTCGGGAGTTGGTGGCTCTGGTGACTGCGACATTCACCAACACCGATCATGATGTGACTCTCCATGGTGGCCGGCGAAAAAAAGTAATCCGAGGAACGCTTTGTCTCTTGAGTGGTCTTTTCTTAAAGAGAAAGAGAACTGGAAATAGACCTAAAATGGTGTGTGTTTAAGTGGTTTGAGGATGGATGATACATGCGACTTGAGGTGTATACAAAGATGTAGGAGGGAGCGGACTGTTTCTGACGATCTTGGAATATGAACTGTTAACTCAGAGAGATAGCAAATGACTAGGACAAATGGACGAAGCCCGTATATATGCCATCACACTTGGTGAATAATGAAGGGAGCGGGATTCCAAAAACGAAAACGCCTCTAGCCAGTAGCAGCGTCTCAGTTTATTATAGATTCCGATGCAAGCTAACATGGCTCGGTGCTGCAGTCGAATTCTACGGCTTCGAAAGTGATGAAATTGATCACCTTTCTTCGCTCCCAAAGAAAAAACAATTCCGCATCAATAGTACCTCCTGATGGCAGCCACTGGAGCCCTCCCCTTCTCGCGGACCGACTCGGCAGCCAGAAGGCTTTGAGTAGGGGGTGTAAGCTCGAGTCGATTTGATGGAGGTAAGTGGGCGGGAATGTATGTACGAGGGAGCCACCAGCGACACCTCCATGTCCAGCCCACTCCTCTTCTCCATGAACACACCCCCTTCCCTTTATCTCCAGCACCCCTCCTCGACCCCCGTCCCCTCCCCTTCCTCCGAGTGCATGGTGTACTGGTATATCGTAGTTTCCGCTTCTCCTAGTCTGTGCACTTGGGGTACGTGAGGAGACAGGTCTGGTGTTGACGAAAGGTATCATAATATTACTTAGTGGCATCCAATTCCAAGTGAAGATGTGCAGCGTTCAGAAGTTAGTTGCCGTGAGCTTGAGGAGGATTTAGGCGCATCGACCTTAAATAAATGTGGGCATGAAGCTTAATACAGAGACTACAATAGTTATGGTGAATTGCCTGGCGATGATGTCGCCGTGAATACACATCGTCTCTCGGAATGAGAATTCACTTTCGCTGAGCAAGCACTGAACAACTTCTTCGCCACTCACTCAAAGGATACACAGACACACACACACACATCTTTGCATGTGAGATAATCTACCCATGGTCGAGATGCATGAAAACGTGGCCTAGAAGAAGGGATCTACAGATCTAGCCAGGGGGGAATAGGAATGTGTAACAGCCTAGGCAATCTTCTGTGCGAATATTCCGCCATCCCAAAGCAGCAGGTTGCTTCACCCAGTCACCGTCCGGCATGGACTCACCGACGGTACTGTTCTATCCCGTTCTTCGTTAGCCACTGGCCACTTGGCCGCTCGGGATTCTTCGAAAAAAAAAGCTCAGGGCCGGGACGCTGCCCTCACTCCGGAGTCCGTTTGGCCATGCCGGATTCGCCGCCGCAACAAGCCCCGACGGTAAGCCCGTGTTGGGGCTTGCTGTGAGTATCCAACCGTCCGAGATTCTGTGCATTTGCCGCAGAAACACACAGCCAGCCCTATGTGTCCGTCATAGAGACTTTTTCCCTCTTCAGATTCATTAAAGCCTCGGTACGGGCCTGGCCGTCATTCTTGCTGCACTTACGGATGTTTATCCCGAGTGAGACTGCTTGAAGAAATAGTAGACCACATATTGACTCAGGGTCCGCCTGTTAGTCTCAACAGGAAGAAAAAATGGAAAAATTTTTTCTTTCCTTTCAAACCAGCCGTTGCCCACATAGGAAGATTAGTTGGACGCCAGAATCTGACAGATAGGGAGGGTTGCAGGATGAGGAAGCAGAAAAAGGAAGCAACAAGCGACCTTGGTTGGCCTAGATGAGATGGGATGCGGGAAGAGTGTCTCTGGCAGGAAATAATGGAAATAATCCGTAATAACTTCCAAGCATTGGCTAATCCGAGTCCTCTCGCAGCAGAAGTGTGGAGAGACGGATGGATTGGCTGTCCTCTCTTCGCTGCTCTGTTTACCGCAATCAATGTCATCAATGTCATTCTGCACCCCCTTCTCAGGATTGCTTCGTCGTTGAAGAGGAATCCACTCTGGAGCTATACCTCCAGGGCACAAGCTGGGACTGGGGATATTACCAAGTAATACTCGCAGCAGAGGCCTGGCCAGGGCTGGTCAGACCACATCTACGAAGTATCTTTGCCGGGGATATTCGTGGCTGCCCTAAAAGTCGGGTAGGCTAGCGTAGGGTGCCGGAGACCAATCAGGTCAAGACGGCACTTCTCCTGCAGTATGGCTGGGAGCCGAGTACCCCCATCCTGGCTTTATCCCATTGTCTCTTCGTACGAAGTAGTAGACGCTGTTGAATGGGAGTGTGAAGTGGCTAGGCCCTCAGTATCGCATCCCTGTGAATAGGGCAGCAAGGGGCAGTCTGTCCGTGGCTGACATGGGAGGCCTGAGCCCTCGTCGACGAGTTTATTTAACGAGAAAGTCAATTGGTGTTATGTTGCACGGTGGCCTCCAGATCACCGATCCTTGGGGAAAGGCCCCAGGAAAGAGGTTACTAGTTTACATAGATAGTAATGATGGTCTGCGGTGGAAGGCCACGACAACCCGGTGTGTGAAGACTGGATTGGGATTCACCTTGACATGGGCGACCCACGGCATCAAATCGTATCAAAATGGGAAGGGGCAATGGAGGGGGGGAGTGCGGGGTTAGCTCCTGAGTCTTGTGGCATTGTACCTGGAAATGCCTCCGCCATGCTAGGAATGGGTCAAGGTATGATCAAATGGAGGCAGGAAATACTGTGGAGCAAGTAAGGTTTAGGGAAGTCAGGGGCAGGGGGGGAGACGAGGTGGAAACAGCACTGGAGAAGTCTGAGAAGGTACTATAACGCAACAGGCAGGAACCAATGAGACGAATGACACGAATTACAGCTCATTTGTGCGGGTTTCCCTAGTTTCAACAGCTTAACAAGGGCATAGTGTCCTCTGTGGAGGGAGGAATGGCATGTGTCTATTACTTGGTTCACACAGAGTAGAGTAGAGTCCAAGGCGCTAAGTCGAGAGATCGACAACGGCTCAGCTCCGATCTCCATGTTGATCTGAGTTGGCTGGACATGCAGCACAGCACTTGCCCCTTCCGGGCTTAACGACCCTGACCCGCCCCGTTCCTGGGGAGGGGCGAGCATTAGGGGGACCCACGAAGTCGCCATCGTCCCCGAAAACTGGTCCAGCGATACAAATCTCTCGATTCCCAATCCCACTGCATTGTCACAATACATATAAGTCAGACCTGGTGACTTCATCGATGCTACATTGAAAGCACATCTTGCAGCAGTAGCGTACCGCCCAATTACGCGGAAGTCTTCTCAGAAGAAGCTGTTCCACCGTGCCTCCCTGAAGTGCTGTTACTAACTACAAGTAAGTGGCCTTATACTCCTGCAGCTGGTCCCCTTTCTCAAGGCTTGCGGCCCCGGAGCATCTACGGGCGGCGTCTATTTGCAGTGCGGCGGCTTGCGAGTTCTTAGCCAACATAGTAATAGATCTCGCTCTCCTCCTTCACAAGCACCGGTTGAAAATGGTTGAACTCGATGGCTTCGGTTAGCATCAAAGACCCTGCTTCGCCCGGGGTCTCGGCTGCACCTCGACGAATTAAGAGAGGCTCTTAACCAATGACCGGTGCGTAGAAAAATGATGGTGTGGCGCCGGGGAAGGCGGACTCAGCACGGCGGACTTGCTCTCTTTTGCGTTTCATGCGATGTTCTTTGCTTTTTGTTAATATCCTTCTGTGGACATTGAGAGGGGGATCTCCCGGTTTCTTTACAAGTAATGTATCATCCCGAGTACTACGAGCACTACTCACCTAGCACTACTCATTTTCCCTTCTCCATCGAATACGTGGACTCGCAGTGATCGGATTCTGTTTGGCTACTTCAAAAATTGACCTGTCGAAGTTGATGGAGAGGTTGGTAGCAATGTCAGGAATATCCCCACACGAGTAGACCTTACCGTTGTAGGCTCAGGAATGTGAGCGTATGAAATACCAGTCGATTACATGTTCCACGTACTTCGCAGATCAAAGATTTGCATCGATTTTCTTCATACCGTCACCGTGGATTGCTCTGCGTCGATCAACAAGCTGTCGTTTCATCGACAGATGCCCTGATGGGGGGCGGCGCCGAGCCTGAGCCGTGCCACTTTAAAGAGAGTCCCTCAACGGGGCACAACAGGCGCGGGGGCGGAGGGATTGGAGGATCAAAGCGGGCCGTATCCGTGGGACGTGCTGCGGGCCGTTTTATTTGATTGTTGGTTTCACTGATTTTTATTTGATCTCTCTTCATATTATCCAGAAGCGGTGACATAACTTTGTTAATAGTACAAAGTATGCGCTTGATCCGTGCACTCTCAAATGGCTTTCCTTCGGTAATACTTCGCCAGATCTGCCAACGACTTCGTATTCATATGATGTGGCTTCAAGGTTCCTACTTCTTCGTACTTACTTTCCTGCTCTGCCAGGAAGTCAAATGACATGGTGGTGGAAAGGACGAGAAGGGAAATGGCCAATAGATTCGGTTGAGTTACAGTGGTCAGAATGCAGAGCTTGACAAGAGCGTGGCGGTCTGTCCGGTTGAATCGCAGATTGAAGGGAAGGGTCAACATTAATACAACGCATCTTGTTTTGGATCTTGTCCAGATCGTACTTGTGCTGCTTCGTAGCTTCGTAGTACGTAGATTACAACTACGCTGGAGATGCCTGTCCAGCAGGACACATGAAAGGAACAGCCCTTGCAAGAAAATCTCTAGGGCCAAGTGGAGTATTCGGAGTGCTAAAAACCGATTGGCTGGACCAACTTTTCAGAACCCTCCAAGCCAACGGATTTCAAGTTTAGACTGGCGAGGGTCCCTGGACGGAAACCCTAGTGACGCATCCCTCTCTAACCACCCAAACGATAAGACGCCGCCTTCAAGAACGGGCTGTTGCAAGCTGGACTTAGGAAGGGTAGCAGTGCTAAAAGGATTGCCACAAGCCTAAGGCCTCTTTTACCAGTCGCGCTGGGTTGGATGCATCCT